AGCACTCTACCACCTGAACTACAGCGCCACTTCCGGTTTTCTGGTGGTTTATTGGAAATAAGAATTTCACGGACTTTCCTGCCCGGGCTGGCTTTGAACCGAGATCCTCAGATCTCAGCCTCCTGAGTAGCTAGGATTACAGGCATGAGCCACCAGCGCCCAGCAAAATAGACACTTTTTTTTTCTTGTCCATGGGGCTTGAACTTAGGGCCTGGGTGCTCTTCCTGAGCTTTCCTGCTCAAGGCTAGTGCTCTACCACTTTGAGCCACAGTACCACTTTTGGCCTTTTCTGGTTATCTGGTACTGAGGAATTGAACCCAGGGCTTCATGCATGCTAGGCAAGCACTCTACCACTAAGCCACATTTCCAGCCCCTGGCAATGTAATTCTTTAGAAAGGCAAAGTCTAAGTTCAACAACAACAACAACAAACACCAGAAAGGGTGGGATGGGGCCAAGGTTAGAGGAAGGAAGAGGAAAACCCTGTCAAGAACGCAATGTATATCCCACAAAATTAAGCTCTAGGGTGGGTCCTGGGAAGGAGGGAGCGGGGAGGAGGCTATTAAAAGGGCGGATATTGAAAGGATGGGTTGTTTTCATAGACTGCTTTGTTAAATGGCAACTCTTCTGTACAACTACTTAAAGATAATTTAAAAATAAAATCAATTTAGAACTAAAAAGATTGGCGGTAAAAACAAAACTCTCTCCTGTGTGAAGATTGCTACCTGCCCCTGTGTCCACGCGAAGGGCTCCAGGACCCGAAGCAACGATGCCAAAGTCTGCTGTGCCTGCATTTCTCCAAGTGGCGCTTGCTTTTCCCAATATTTGGTTTCTCAGGCTGGGAAATCAATCTGCCTGAACAGTGGCTGTAAGACAAGGCAGGTGGTCCCTGCAGCCAGGCCCTTGCATGTGGAAATACAGGTGAATAGGGTTGGCTGGTGGGTAGCAGTGAGGCCTTGCAAACAGACCTTGTGATGACTATGAGGCCAAGTAGGTTATTTGGGAGAGGAGTTCAGGCAGTACTAGCAGCGGAGTGTGGAAGTTAGATAGGAAAACCGGGGTGTGGGGGATTCCCTTTTAAACAGGTCAGAAGCTAGGGATCATTGCATTGGGGGGGGGGCGGGGAGGAAGTACAGAAGACCGTGTGGAAGGCGTTTCTGAGTTATCCCAAATGGCCACCAAGGATACTGGGCCATGTATGCATCCTACCCCATTGCCCATCTTGAGTCGAGGGCTGAAATCAACTTCTACCTTGGCCTGGCTTCAGAGTTCCAGTCCTTAGGTAGAGAGTAGCAGATAGTGGCAGTGAACAGCTCCAGAAGGCATATGGATTTATACTGTTGTTATCATCATACGACTTGTACAACAAATGCAAGCCAACTTTAGTATCCTTACATTTATAGCTCTTACAGAGAATCCTGAAAAGCAAAACATGCCTGAATATTAAAGCATGTTTAAAGCACCAAAATACAACACAGGTCACAATAATAGTCACTCAAAGTGATGTAGGGTGTCCGAATCAAGATTTGTAGTGCAAAAGCACTGGTTTACCAGGAAACAGATTTATTTTTTTATTTTT